TCGCGAGACTTCCACGCTGTAACGGCAGCCCGCTCGCGGGCAAAGCGCTCCCTGTCTGCAACAGTGGGGTCAGCGCCTAGCGCATCTGGGGCAGGGGGCTCAGGGAGGTCACTGGAGGCGTGTGCCCAGAGGGTCTCGTCAGCCTGACACTGACTCTCTAGTAGGCGTTACGCACGAAGGAGGCAGAATGAAAGCTCTAGCGGTCTACCATCGGCATCGAAGCGGAGAAGTCTGCGGGCCGCCATAATTGACTAGCAAGGGGAGATGCGGCTGCCAACCACCGAGAAAGCTTGAGCAGGGCGGGCACGACAGTGTGCGGGCGTTTAGGGCATGACGCTGAGGGTGTGGACGGGCGGGCCAGACGCTAAGGGCGCGGACGGACGGGCAGACAGGGCGCAGGGTGTGGACGGACGGGCGCAGGGTGCGGACGGACGTGCGCAGGGCGGACGGACGGACGGACGGGACGGACGGGCGCAGGGCGGAGGGCGCAGGGGACGGGACGGACGGGACAGATGGGACGGAGGGGACAGACGAGCGCAGGGCACGGACGGACGGGACGACGCGACGGGACGGGACAGGCGAGGCGCGACGCGACGGGACGGGCCGGGCGCGACGCGACGAGCAGGGAGACGCGACGGGACGGGACAGGTTGGGCACGACGCAACGGGATGGGCAGGGCGCGACGCGACGGGACGGGCAGGGCGCAACACGACGGGCAGGGAAGCGCGACGGGCGCGAGGGGACGGGACGGGACGGGCACGACGGGCGCTAGAGGACGGGACGAGCGCGACGGGCGCTAGAGAACAGGACGGGCGCTACGGGCGTCGTAGGCTAGGCGCAACGGGCGCGGGAGGCTCAAGAGAGAGGAACGGGATCCAACAGGATCCTAACCTAGGTGATATCATGTCAGAAACGAAATGATCTGTGAATTACTATGAGTTGGGGTACATATACCTAACCCTAACAGCTGTACCCCACATGACATGTCTCACTACAGGCTACAACATTTGACAAAACAAATTTAAATGGTGCCAAAGCTTGATGTACGCGGAAACAAATCTAGTGATGGGTAATCCAAAGGGTTAGCCTCAGCAATGTTGGTCTAGCAAGAATTGAGATGACAACATCCCCGCAAGAAGCACACAGATATCTTAGATACCGTAACACACCACGGTGTATGTTCAACCATGATACTGTCTTGTTTTATGGTCTCATATTTGGCTAGAGATTCCAAGGATCAAATACAACTTATGGACGGTACGCTATGCATGCATGCATGCCCATGCTAGGCCTTGGTGTTGGCGGACGACCGGCACGGCAGATTCCACGTGCTGACAGCCTTATCCATTCCCTCTGCTGCCACCAACCGGACTGCATCAACCGCCCTCTCTATAGCCACATCCACCTGTGTCACGGGTCACAGACCACAAATGGGTTTGCATATAAAGGAAACCGTCTCATATTATAAAATAGGCAGGTTAGTTTCAACTGGTATCACAGCTTCCTGTTATCTCTCAGGAAACCATACATTTCAAAACTGGATATTTTCACAGTCTCACCTCCTCCCTTCCTCATGAGGTGCCTTTTGAGTCGACTCAAAATTCATACACATACACACATTCTCACTAACTCGCCTCCTCCCTCCCTCTCCCTGTGCGAGATTCACTGCAGCACATACACTTTGGGGTCTGTTTTTTTATAAGCCGGAAGACAAAGTAGAAACGCTTCAACGCTCGACGCACACACCACCTGCTCCTCTCACCTGTTCTCTCTCCCTATCTGAAAACTTCTGCAGCACATACACCTTGGCCTCCATGCGTCCTGGTGGCCTCCCAATGCCTGCATGCAAACCACATGGAGGGAATGAACTGGTGTTTAATTTGACTCAGAAAACTCTCCCTGTCTGACTGACAACTGCGGCAGCACACACCTTGGCTTCCATACGTCCTGGGGGCCCCCGTGCCTGCATGCAAACCACATGGAGGGATCAACTCAATCTAGAATCTCTCTGACTGCCAACCGCTGCAGCACATACACCTTGGCCTGGCCTCCATCCATCCTGGCGACCTCCGGATGCCTGCATGCACTGATGACACCAGCATGACGTCACCATGCCATCACACAAACATGTTGCACATGTTGCAGGTTTGACAAACAGTTAAGGAGTGGAAAGCTATAGGCGCTTAGTTAAATCAGTAGGTAGCCATAGCTAAATACGTGCCCACAGCAGGTCACGTGGCAACAGCAGGTCAGCATGGCAACAGCAGGTCAGCACGGCAACAGCAGGTCAGCATGGCAACAGAGCAGCAATTGACCAAATCTGATTCCTCCACTGACCAAATCAAAATTGCCACCGACAAAATCAGTTTTGCCACTGACCGAATCTCAGACGTGGAAAGTTTCTAGAGCCCTGAAAGTGCTGCATTATGCTCTTCATGCTGGAAAGGGGGATGTGGCATTGGGTAGTGGGGCATGGATGGGAAGGGAATGAGGAGATGGGGCACGGGGAAATCATGAGGGAGTGAGGCATGGGAAGATGGGGCATGGCGAATTGGGAATGGTCAAAGGGACGATGAAAGGAGAATTCATGGAAACAGGTAGGTGGGAGTATGCTTGTTGATAAAAGGAGACTTTATTCTTGAAATGTCTCAAAAGTGACACGTGGGTGGGAGTACGCATGAGACGTCCACAAGCAAAAGGGAAGGGCATCATTGAAATTTCTCTCTTATGGCATTGTGGGGATGGGGAGAAATGTCACAGAGAAGGCATCATGGAATGATGGTGATGTTGATGGTGATGTTGATGGTGACGAGACGATAAAAACAACGAGAACTGGAAGGCAGACGGATGGTTACTGCTCTCTATCCTTTCAGTGATGCAAGTGGAGAAAGGCTTGGAGACGTTTCAAAACACTGTCAACAAAAGGGGCGGGCCTTTTCAGTAAACGCCACTTACTTGGAGACGTCACCAAAAGGGGCGGGCCGAGGTACAAAGTGCACCAGTCGAGTGAGTGCTCTCATCCTTTCAGTGCCACCTCTCACAACGGCTGACCTATGTTGGAATATACGCCCAGACCCCTTTGCGTTTAGCGTTTGCACACTAGTGTATATACGTAAAACGCTAAACGCCCACTCATACGCAATACGCAGCCCAATTTTTTTTGGGGGCAGCCCGGGCGAAAAATACGTAGGGGTATAGTGGGGGTTGGAAAGGATCATGATGATGATGCCCTTGCAGTCCTTTGTATGTTCATGTTGGTAAGTTCATATCTGGATAAAATACCACCTGACTCACAAAGCCAATCAAATGCCCCCCCTCCAAAACCATACCAGAAACGTTTTCCCCCTGCCCGTGGTTTTTTTTGCCTGCCCGGAAAAGCGTATCACCGATTTGAGGTTTGAGCGTATAGAGTATACACGCTTGCGTACATACGAAACGCGTATATACGACAAACGCGTATATTCCAACATAGCGGCTGACCTCCTTCTCACAACGGCTGACCTCCTTCTCACAACGGCTGACCTCCTTCTCACAACGAGTGACCTCCTTTTCCTACCTGAACTCACCCGTTGTGTCCCCCATGCCCCCCTTTGGCAAGAAGCTTCATGGAAGCTACGTCCAGGTCCATGTCATCGTAGATCTGAGTGAAGGGATGGTAGAAATGCTCGCTTAATTAAAAAGCCCAGATCCATCCATGTCCTTAAGGCGACTTTTGAGACGTCTCAAAAGTGACGGGATGGCAGAAATGCTCGCTCTATTAAAGCTCAAGGCCCAAATTGTTCAGGATTACTAAAGTTGACCCTTGGGTGGTGGAAGAGCTGAGTAGGAGAGTCGAGGTGTTTAAGGGGTGTAGGGGTTTGGTTTCGCCCAGCTTCTTGCCACACTCAAAACAAAATTCGCTGACTCAGCAAAGCCTAGGGGACGCTCAGGTTTGGTTGCGCGAGTCCCATATTGCACAAATATTACTCTTGCCAGTTTCCCACACCACCTGTTCCATTCGCTGACTCAAATGTTCTGGCCAATCAGATGGCTTCGTACATTTCGTAACCACAATTCGCCCAGCTAAAGATGCAAAGCAGCACTCGATCAACCTTACTAAACTTGCCTCGCGCGGCCCGCAATTTGGGCCTTGAGCTTTAACGAGTTCAGATCCATCCATGACCTTAAGGACTTCGGAGTTTCTAGTCGACTACTTTTCGGGTGGTGGTGGGAATGGTGATGGAAGGGAAATCATCACAGAGCAGGTAGGGTAAATGGGTCGAAGATGGCTTGGCATGGTACGGCATGGGATGCCATGGTACGGCATGGAATGGCATGGAATGGTATGGCACAGAAGTGAAGTGCATGGCATTGCAGGGCACAACAGGGCAGGCTGTGAAATAGAATGGCCATGACTTACAGCCATGACTTACAGCTATGACTCGCTCTGGTGGAATCTTGTAGAATCGAGCCAAGGGACCCACCTGCAATGTGGTGCGGTGGTGTGGGGTACAGTGGTGTGGGGTGCGGTGGTATGGGGTACGGTGATATGGGGTGCAGTGGTATGGAGCGTCGCTCAGGTTCACGAGCGACTGAGGATTCACCAACAGCACTTTGATTTTCTCTTATCGTCCTCTGGTCTCATCCCCTTTTTCCTCTTCCCTCCCCACCCCTTCACCCGCACCTTCTCTCCATCCATCATAGCCACTCACTCTCTCCCCACTGAGGTTCATGAACGTCTGGGGCTTCACCGCAGCTCCCCTGCCCATCCACCCTCCATTCGCCTTCCCTCTTTTCCCACTCACTCTCCCCATCATAGCCGCTCACGCTTTACCCTCTCAGGTTCATGAACATCTGCGGCTTCACCAGCAGCATTTTAGGCCTTCTTTATCAAAGACCGTTTCTCAACCCTTCTCTTACCCCACCACCCGGTCTCCCCTTGTCCACTCACGCTCTCCCCTCTCAAGTTCATTAACGCCTGGCTGGGGTTCACCAGCAGCACTTTGAGGCCCCACTATCCATCAGGTATCATCAAAACCCCCACCACCTTCCCACCCACCCCCCTTATCACTCACGCTCTCCCCACTGAGGTTCATGAACGTCTGTGGCTTCACCAGCAGCACAGGGCACCTGGCAATGCGTCCCTTGCCCACCACTGCCCTGCTCTGCACGGCACTCAGGGATATGCTGGTAACTATCGCCCTCGTACCCCCCGCCCTCTCATTCCCACCCCCCACCATTCACACTCTCCCCACTGAGGTGCATGAACGCCTGTGGATTCACTAGCAGCACTTTGAGATTCCGCCGAGCAGGTACCATCAAACCGCCCTTTTTACCACCCCCTTTTTCACTCACGCTCTCCCCACTGAGGTTCATGAACGTCTGCGGCTTCACCAGCAGCACAGGGCACGCAGCAATGCGCCCCTTGCCCACCACTGCTTTGCTCTGCATGGCACTCAGGCTTATACCCTCCGCTCTGGCTACAGCGTCCATCACCTCGAAGCCCACCTGGTGGGATGGGAGGCACGCAGGAGAGGGAGGGGGACTGGAGGAGGGGTAAGGGAAGAAGGAGGTGAGGGGAATGAAATGCGTCCCTTGCCCACCACTGGTTTACTCTGCATGGCTCTCAAGCTGGGAGGCAGGAAAGGGCCGGGAGGGGATGGGTTGTAGGCAGTGGAAGAGGAGAGGGATAGCGGGACGCAGAGAAGAGAGGCACCCCCTTGCCCACCATCGCCCTGCTCTTTTGAGGCGCCTCAAAAGTCGTCTCTTCTCCCGCAATTTTTTAGGCGCCTCAAAAGCTGAGGAGAGAGGCACACCTTTGCCCACCATCGCCCTGCTCTGCATGGCGCTCAGGCTTATAACATCCGCCCTAGCTGTGGCGTCCATCACCTCGAAGCCCACCTGGTGGGGAGGTGAGAAGGAGAGAGGGGGAAACGGGAGGACGAGGTCAGCAGCACTGGGATACGCAATGCGCCCCTTGCCCTCCCTCCCTCCACGGCCCTGCTCTGCATGGCGCTCAGAGCTGGTTTTTGAGAATTGTCAAAATCTCAGAGCTATGCCCTCCGCCGTGGCTATGACATCTATCACCTCGACGCCCACTTGGTGGGGAAGGAAAGCAGGAGAAAAGGGGGTGGGAGGAGGGGGAGGAAGAGGAGAGGGGTAGGGGGAGTAAGAGGAGGGGTGGGGAAGAGCATGGGGAGGAGATCGACTGAAAGCCTACCTGGTGAGAAGGGCACGGGAGAGAGAAAGGGTTTGTGGGGAAGGGGGAAGGAAGCGGCTTGAAGCTTATCTAGTGTGGGCGGCAGGAGAGGACGGCAGGGGGTGGAAGGGCAGAGGAAGAGCGAATAGAGTGTATGTGGGAGAATGACCTTTGAGTCGACTCAAAAGTCACCTCGTTTGAAGGGCAGAGGAGGAGCAAATCGAATCGAGGGCATGTGGGAAGCTGAGGAAAATGCGCTCTCTGCTGATGCGATTTTTGGAGTTTGGCCGAGAATGTTGCAGCGGGCGGACAGAGAGTCGGCGCGCTATGAGTGGGCTGGTCACACTAACCACACCCCAAAACCCCAAACCTCGAACCCCTTGAATCCCAAACTCTGAACGTTCATGTGCTCCGTTACCCCCTTTCCCTTCCCTTCCCCTACCCCTTATTTTGTCAACATAAAGACATGTTTTCGAGCCGCCACAAGAACGATGCGGATCCTTAGATAGCACAAATACGAAATCTGAGGCACACCTTTCCCCCTCCTCCCCTCCCAGCCCCCTTCCCCCCCTCTCCCCCTTTCAAAATCTGCTTCTTAGATTTCTCACAGGCCAGTCCCATGCACGCCCAGCGGCAACGTACATTGTGCCGCGTGCCCTCGTATTTCATCCCCGGATTGCCCAGCCCCACCAGCATCCACGGCCCGCTCCGCCCCGCATCCCCCTTGCTCCGCGCGCCCGGCGCCCCCGCGGTCTCCCCCGACACCTCCCCCGCGGCGCTGGTCGTGACGGCTCTACGTTTGCTGACGCGGAAGGTCGCCGCGCCGTCTGACGTGGATCGCTTCATGAATGACGTGGATCGCTTCATGGTTTTCTACACAGCGCAAAGAAACGGCAAAAATACACACCAAAGTCAGCTCACCTGCCTGCCCTCATCCCACAGCCTCGTCTGACCTGCCTGCCCTCATCCCACACGCCTTCCGCCGTCTGCGCCTCCGCCACCGACACCGCGTGCGCGCGAGCTCTCCCCCGATGGGGGCGCTGCGCTCTCGCCGCGGAACTCGACAAGCTGCAGGGCGAGGCGGCCGTGCGCGCGTCGACGCGCGGAAGGTGGGCCGAGCGCGCCGAAGACGGACAGCATGGAGGGGAAACCGGTTGGCAACGGACGGCCGGAGCGGCTACGACGGACGCGGTGAGCCGCGCAGATAGCGACGAGAGGGACATTGGCAGCCCTGCTGCACACGCGGCAGGCGGCATGGCGAATGCGGCTTTCCGCGCGGATGGTGCAAGGACGGCGCAGGCTTCCAGCGCGCGGAGAATGGCGGCGAACGACACGGAAAGCAGCGGGCAAGCATGGAGGTGGAGGGTTTCAGCAGGTGAGGCTGGGATTGGCAGGGCGAGCAAGGGGGAATCGAGAGGCATACGGCGTCGATGTAAATCCCCGTTTAGTGAACCCCTGTTTGTTGCAGACACAGAAAGCTTCTATTCTTAAATGGCTGTAACTCAAATGATGGAATTCCAGGTCGCAATCATGTACGTATTAAACGGGGGAACATGGCGGTATGATGTTCCAATTTCCTCTTGTGATCCTGTATGAACATTTCCATTTCTCTGTTTTATTCACGTTTGTAATGTTATATTAAGTCTCATATTGGTCACGCAAGCACCAATCAACAGCTCTTAGACCTGCAAACGATCAACCCTGCAAGACCCTTACTTGTAAGTAATTTTGTCTCATTCCAACAGTGTTGGCCTGAAAATAGCCTAAGGATATTATAGAGTTTAGTCATTGATAAAGTATTGTACCTGAAATCTTGTGAATTTCTGTACTATGTGAATGTGAGAACAAGAATTGATATTAATGAAAGCGTACAAAGAATGTATAGTCTAGCAGAGTACCTACTCGGTAATGTACTTATTCATGAATTGAGCTGTTTATCAAATCGACTACTGAAGCGATACTTTTCTTGTGTCACGCGAACAATTACAAGACTGTTTGCGCTACTACATGTAACTCATGTAAAGAGACACATGCTGGAGTAGCATTTGTTAAAGAGCTATCTAATGTTCCTACGGGCCCTTATTAGGGCCTCCTCTTATCAGCTTCGCCAAACTTGCATGTAATTTGGCTGGACCGAGAAACCCCTTATCATATATACTTGGCGGTTTGCAGTTGTGTGCGATTGTCCATGCTAGCTGATGTGGCACAATGCGACCCTTTCACGCGCAGCAGCTTGAGAAGGCACAGAGCGCTCGCGTTTCGTAAAATGTGCACCAGGGCCACGTCAGCCAACACATTGCCCCATGCTCAAAGTCTACCACCCAGGGTGACGCAAACTGGCTCCACCCAATACTTGACTCACAAGCACACGTGCGTTACAAAAGCGAGGTGAGAGAGCATCTTTCCAACAGACACAGGATTGTTAGGACGTTACGGTATGGCACCATGATCGAGGTGCCTTTCCTCCCACGACTTTTAATTGTATGGCATGCTTTCTTCTATAACACCTTCTTAGACTGTACTACGAAAGCCTGCATTGCGCTACTGGAGCGCATCGAGTCCGCGGCGCTAGACGCTCAATGCGTAGAGTCGCGAAGTGAGCTGCGCACTAGGAACCGTCAACTACGTCGACGGCGAATAGAAGTATGGGAGGACGAGATGGAGTCAATGTCGGAGGAGACATTCACGGACCTCTTCCGCATCAATCGCGCCATATTAGACTACATATGCGAGGGAATGCAGCATATTTTGCACCCGGTCGTACATAGGCACGCATTGCCCATCACCGTGGCCGTTTTAATCCCCATTAATTACTTCACGAGTGCAATGTCATACATTGATCTCGCCTTCTAGTTCGGTGTTCCAAAAATGCTATGTCATCGGCTTGTTGATGTGCTTCTACAGAACTTTCCGCGCGTCTTTAAAAAGGAGTGGGTTCGATGTCCTACGCAAGATGAAATTAGGGTCAAGGCATAAGAATTCAAAAGCATCAAAGGCGTCCCAGCAGTGATAGGTGCGATTGATGGCACTCGTATCCAGATTCAGGGAATGGAAGGTCATTGCTTGGAATATTACACCAAGAAATCACAATATGCTGTTCAGCTGCAGATAACATGTCACGCCAAAGGCGTGACATGGGACTACCTGATAGACTTCCCAAGCACAGCACATGATCAACGAGTGTTCATACAGTCCAAGCTCCACAGCCGACTAGAAAATGGAGACATCGCTCCATCCAGCTGGTTGGCGACGCGGCATATCCCCTCCGCGACTATTGCCTCACACCCTTGCACGCTCCAACTGGTCGCCTCATGCTCGAGTGGCAGCAGACCTTCAACTACTGTCAATCAGCCACCCGCATGTCTATCGAGCGCACCATCGGCCAGTTCAAAGGCCGATACCGTTTGTTCGCCAGTCGGCACGACTGTGCGCTATGGCGGGTTCTTGCCGGGGCCAGCTGCGTCGTGATCCTGCACAACATGGGGATTTCAATGGCAGGTCCATGCATGAAAACCCCCAACGTCAGGTGGGCTGCCATTTCACTCAATCAGGATCCGTGGTGGACGCGTGGAGAGCTGGCCAAGTATGAGTGGGAGGCTTGTGACATTCCAACGCAGTCCGAACTCAAAGAACGACGCAAACGGCTCGGAGTGGTTCTCCACGACGCTTACCTTAAGCATCGTCATCGCGACGCCACTCCTCAATCCCGTCACAGAGGCCGGCATTGTCGTCGTGAGGCCAGTTGTCGTCTCCATGAGCGCGGGAGCCGGTGAAGCGTAACGGTCGACTGGTATGAGATTGCTGGCTCGCCATCCACCCTCGGATTACTCCAGTGATCTGGGCGATGCCATCCTCGAAACAGCGTTTCAGGGTGTCGGACAACAGTTGAGCTGCCTCCATTGTTGCGGTCTCATTGATCCCGCATCTTGCGCCAGGAGGGGTGATGCGAACTACAAGCAGTACGGCATAAGGCATGAGTGTAATGTGCTTGTGATGTATAAAATGACACGTATGATTAAACTAATCCGCCCATGTTGATGCACTATGTAATAAGTTTAATGTGGGAACAGAGAGACTCACCATACGGTGAACATTAACTCACATGGAGTAGTAGCGTCAGTTTTCGCAGGCTTGGGTATGTCTAGGCCAGGATCAACGGTGACATCGTCACCACCTCCACCATCCAATGCATGAGGCTCAGCCGCAGCGGTGTCCTTATAGAAGAGCACCATCCACTCCCACCATGGCGGCTTGATGACAGTCGCACCACCCGAGGCCGAATCACCCTTCGATACCTGCTTCCACAGCGCCTTAAGCCGTTTCCATTGGTTGGTGCAAGCGGTAGCGTTGCGGCTCCAGTCAGGGTGCTGGAGCTTAATGTGCTCGCAGAGGCGGAGCCAGTATTGCGACCCTTGCTTCCCGGTCATCTGCTGCAGCTCATCCTTCGTAAACCACCGCGCTGCAATAAGGATGGTCGACTCCTTCAGAGACCACTCGGGGCGCTGGCCATTCACGGGGCTGCTACTCAGCTTAGCATCATTGCGCACAGTCGCCTTCCTCTTTCACTTCCCGTTTGAGCGCTCTGAAGCATCGTCGTGCGGGCGATGAACAGGTGTAGCCGTGGCATTGTCATGAGTAGGGCCGTTGTATTCGGCAACGCCGTGCCACGCAGCAACGGGATCCTCACCATTGGAACCGGCGTCCTCCTCCTCCTCGTCCGATTCCTTCTCAGGGTATTTGTCATCGGTGTCATACCCTCGGGGCGTGATCGTAGAATGCGCGGGAGTTGAGCTGGCGGCTCCCACGTTCCTTAACGGCCGGGCGGTTGGTTTCCCGGCGGCGAGTTCGGCATTCATCCATTGGACGTAGGCAAGTTATTCTACTCGCCACCCTTCGTCCTCGGCTGTGCCTGTTTGCGCTTTGCGCTTGCGTGCCATGTCTGGCGGTTAAGACTTTCTGAGGTTGCTGGGTTGTTCCTAGTTCGTGGTTTTGTATGCATGGTTACACCCTTTCAATTGAACGTTGGTGTTGCTGGCATGGCTGTAACTGTTTGTGAGACTGGTCATCGTGCAGGCGCATCGGATCGCTGCGTGGCGGGAGTTGCTCAAAAGTTGACAAATCGTGATTCAATGGAACGATCAATCGAGCTGCACTTTCGCCACGTCACGGTCGTGCGTAGGTTAAGGTGACGGTTGTGCTTCCCTGCACCTGGGCTGCCTCCCGCCGGCATCCAACCGCATCGCGACCCTTGGGACACCACCGACTAGGGCAATTAGCACTCAAATCCGCGTCACACCATCTACGGACCTGATCCCGAGCCGCGCGAACCCACAATCGTCCCCGAAATATTCCCCGAGACCAACACTCCCCTCTTTGTTATTCTCACCAGGGAATTTCTCACTCCAGTACTGGAATAAGACCGTGAGGTAGTGTACACGTGCTACATGCACGCACCTCCGGACTACGCACAACCGACGACCTGTGGGATCAGCGCCTTGGTCATCCCTCGCGCGTGACGCGGAACACCTGCATTGAGGTAGGAGTGTTCGTGCCCCGCGCACTTCTGCGCCCTAACTGTTCCGAAGTCAGAAACTCATCACAGTCGCGCAACCGCACCGTCTGCCCCGAAGCCACGCTGAGTCACAATCCCTTTCGGTTGCTAGAGCCAGGGACAGATTGCTACCCCAAGTTGCACAAGGTATACAATGAATTTCTCCTCGTCCACCACTACGGGCTCAACGATGGAGGCTACACACTTACCTTCGTCGACGCGAAGAGCCGCTACGTGTGGATCGCCGCAGCAGAGTGCACGAAGTCTTCCCCGTGTCTGGCTGGCGCACGCCGGCAAGAAACTGCAGATCTGGCATACTAACGGCGCAACAAAATTCCACAGCAGGGAGCTACATGACTACATGGTGCAAAAGGAGATATCGCAACACGTCTCCCTCCCATACGCACATCAGCAGCAGGCGTTGCGAAACGCACCAACCGCACCCTCATGACAAAGGTGGGCATGCTATAGAAGCAGTCAAAGCTTCCCGCAACATATTGTTTGTATGATATGCACCACGCCGTGAGGGTGCACAACCTCCTCTCACCACGGCCATCATGTGGAACTCATCTCCGCACATAAAATGGACGAGATAGAAAGGGCGACACTTCCATGCTCCGCGTGTGGGGGTGCCTGGTGCAGTATCGGCCCCCTACCTCAACTATTGGAATGTTCACGAGCTGCGCGCGTTGGGGCATTCACCTGGGAATCAGTTGCGAATACAAAGCATGGATCATCCTGGACCTGCTTAGCAACAAGGTTACAAACCCGCACGACGTCAACTTCTACGAGCGACTTAACCTCGCTCAATGTTGCGCCAACGAGTAGGCAAACGCAAATCAGGTCTAACCAAATGACGGGCACAGCTAT